TACCAAATTAGGCCCTCGTAAAAATGTTTGGAAGCATTTAATAAATAGAGGTTTCATGCCATATTATTATATTTGGTATCTACATGGAGAAGATGCTAGTTGTAGGAATGAAGGTAGCAGTAGTAATATCAATTTTCAGGTTGAACCGGTTGATCATTTGCGTAATGAAGGTAGCAGTAGTAATAGCTATCATCACCAAGAGGAACAAATGGTAGATTGTGATAGGGTTCATGATATGGTAGGTGATGCATTTGTAACTCATGATGATGATGAAGTTGAAGAACCTAACTTAGATGCAAAAAAGTTTTATGAAATGTTAGAAGCTGCGAATGAGCCAATTTACAGTGGTTGTAGAGAAGGTCTGTCTAAATTATCGTTGGCTGCTAGAATGATGAGTATTAAAACCGATCACAATCTACCTGAAAATTGTATGGATGCATGGGCATACTTGTTTAAAGAGTATTTGCCAGAAGACAATGTGTCTGCTGAATCTTATTATCAGATTCAGAAATTGGTATATAGTCTTGGGTTGCCCTCGGAGATGATAGACGTTTGCATCGACAACTGCATGANTGCTAGAATGATGAGTATTAAAACCGATCACAATCTACCTGAAAATTGTATGGATGCATGGGCATACTTGTTTAAAGAGTATTTGCCAGAAGACAATGTGTCTGCTGAATCTTATTATCAGATTCAGAAATTGGTATATAGTCTTGGGTTGCCCTCGGAGATGATAGACGTTTGCATCGACAACTGCATGATTTACTGGAGAGATGATGAGAAGTTAGAAGAATGTCGATTTTGTAAGAAGCCACGATTCAAACCGCAAGGTCGAGGGCGCAATAGGATACCATACTAAAGGATGTGGTACCTACAATTCACAGACAGATTGAAAAGATTGTACAAATCTGAGGAGACTGCTGGAGGGATGAGATGGCACGCCGAGCATACTCAGACGGATGGAGACATGACTCTTCCATCAGATGCAAGAGCCTTGAAACATTTTAACAATGTACATTCACATTTCGCTAGCAATAGCCGGAATGTGTATCTTGGATTATGCACTGATGAATTTAGTCCATTTGGAATGTCTTGGAGACAATATTCATTGTGGGCGGTCTTTCTTACACCGTATAACCTGCCACCGGAGATGTGCATGCGACGAGAGTTTCTATTCATGATCATATTAATACCTGGTCCAAAACATCCAAAAAGATATCTCAACATTTTTCTACAACCACTGATAAAAGAGTTGAAAGATTTGTGGTCAACAGGGGTGAGGACATGATTGTTCAACGAAAACAAACTTTACGATGCGAGTGATGCTTTTGTGGACCCTAAGTGACTTTCATGCATATGGTATTTTGTCTGGGTGGACTACACATGGGAGATTAGCTTGTCCATATTGTAATGGAATGACAGATGCGTTTCAGTTGAAGCATGGTAGGAAGACTAGTTGGTTCTATTGTCACCGTCGATTTCTTCCCATCCACCACCCATACCGAAGAATCAAGAAATTGTTCATGCACAAAAGGGTTGTTATAGACACTCCTCCTCCATATTTAACTGGAGAACAAATCGAAGCGCAAATCGATTACTACTGTGCTCTAGAAACAGCTCCTCGTGGTGGGAATTGACATGTTCTCAGTAATATGCTTTATTTTTATGGTGTTCAGCACAATTGGCACAAAAAGAGTATATTTTGGGAATTGCCATATTGGAAAGATCTTCTTTTGCGCCACAACCTTGATGTGATGCATATAGAGAAAAACTTTTCTGAGAACATCATGAACACTATTGAACGTCACAGGGAAGACGAAAGACTACGTAAAATCGAGGTTAGACTTACCCGATATCTGCTCAAGGAGTGAGGTACATATAAAAAGCAATGGACAAGTTCCAGTTCCAATATTCAGACTGTCATCAGATAAAAATTCTGCGTTGTTCAACTGGGTGGCTTCAGAAGTGAAGTTCCCTGATGAGTATGTTTCAAATCTCTCAAGATGTGTTGAGAAAGGGAAAAAGTTCTCCGGGATGAAGAGCCATGATTGTCATGTCTTCATGCAGCGACTACTTCCCTTTGTGTTTGCGGAGCTACTACCGGCAAAAGTACATGAAGCAATTTCAGGTAATTAATTAATATAATACGATGATATTCTGTATAAATATATATATATATATATATACTAATGTGGATAATTTTTGTTTTTGTAAATATATAGGAATTGAAGCATTTTTTAGGGATCTGAGCACCCGCACTCTTAAAGTGGAAGTTGTCCAACAACTTCATGAAAACATCCCCGTCTTAATCTGCAACTTGGAGAAAATATTTCCGCCTACTTTTTTGACGTCATGGAACACCTAGTTGTCCACCTCCCATATGAGGCATTACTTCGTGGACCTGTGCATTATGGATGGATGTATCAGTATGAAAGGGCCATGAAAACTTTGAAAGGAAAAGCCAAAAACCTAGCAAGAGTTGAAGGTTCTATTGTTGCGGGAAGTTTGACGGAAGAAACATCACATTTCACTTCGTACTACTTTGCACCGAAAGTACGTATAAGGAAACGAGCTCCAAGAAGATATGATGATGGTGGTGTCGTGCCGACATATATGGAAGACGATGTTCCAAACATCTTTTGTCAAATTGGGCGATTGGGTGGGAAATTGAAAGAGGTTTGGTGGTCGAGTGATGAAGACGTCCATAGTGCACACCTTTATATTCTTCTTAATTGCGAGCATCCATTAATTGCTTATTTTGAAAGGTAAATATATAAACATACACACTTATATATATATATTCAATATTAAATATATAACATATATGATTTTACAGCCAATTTGTGACTCAAGTCGAGGAAGCAATATCAGGTATATCGACACCTGAGTTAGACAAAAGGAAAGATCAACACTTTATCAAGTGGTTGAGGAAACATGTATTTATTATTACTTAAATTTTATGCATACATTACCACAAAGAAAGTTTAATATGTCTAGTTATATTACTTTTTGAAGCTATTATTTTATTATGTTTTGAAAAATGAAACAATAGTTCGGTTTCATTCGGAATAGAGGTGTTCAATCCGGATATCGGGTTTCGGTTCGGCTCGATTTTTTGGTATTTCGATTATTAAAATATAACTACTATTCTAAATCTATATGTACTTCAGTTTGATTTGGTTTATATACCATCGGTTTTCAGTTTATTCAATTTTATACCAAAAACATAATTATTTAGTTTGAGATCATATTATACAAATATATAATATGATCATATTTAGAGTCATATTGGCACAGAGTCATTTATTAAAAAAATATTATATATTTAACTAAAAGAATAAAAAACAAAAAAAGATTTCTATCATCTAATAAAATGATCAAATCTAGAATTAATATCAAAACACTAAATTTTGAAAATAAAAAATAAAACAGAAGCATGAAAGAAATTTTTTTATATTCTTCCATATTTAGTGTTCATCAAACCAATATGTCTTCGATTGAACACAATTCTATTTGTTTAAAGATAAAAAAAAGTTGTAAAGAATTTCAACTATTTGTTTTCCATCAAATTTATAATCTTTACTTCAATTTAGTTAATGTTAAAAAAGCAAAAAATCAAAATAAGAAGTCTCAGTTGTAATAAATTGTTAGCTATTTACAAATTATAATTATAGTTCAACTCATGTAACAAATAGATATCCATGCGTCATTATAAATATATACATATTTACATGTTTCAATTTAATCGGTTATAAATAAAACCATATCCAAATCCTATGGTTTTTATAAAATCACATCCATTCGGTTTGTATGGTATATACCAAAAATAACCATATTATCGATTGTTAATATCTTTTAAAAATATAAAATTAAAAAAGAACTAAGATACTTAAATCATTGATAACAAAAATTTTCAATGTGAAAAATTTAATAAGTTTATAATTTATAAATGTTCTTGAAAATTTATTGAAAATTTTGAAATTAAAATATTCATGTAATCTTATATGGTATATAGTTTAATCTGTATATATATTTGTTTTATTATTGAATGATACTTTTTACTTATATGGTTTTAAAATCATGTATATCTTTTTATAATAAAAATGTTAAACTATTGATCATTAATTTTTAACATAATAATTTTAATAGTTTAGTTATTTATTCTCGTCTTTTAAAATTCAAAATATAACCTATAGAAAAAAATCTAAAGTTTAATTTTATAGCTAATTTGATTGTTTAATTTATTTTAATAATATAAAATTAAAGAAAAATGATGGAGGATATATAAATTGTTATCAAATAATTATTATCAGAATCATTAAGTGTCATATATATATTAGTCATTTATGGTAATTCCGTAGGTTTTATTTATGGAAAGAAAATAAAATAGTAATTATATCTAGGGGAACAATCATAAATGCTTCTATCATAAATATCATATCTTATCATCATATCATATAATTTGACCAACGAATGTATCTAGCGACATATAAAAATCGAATGTGGACCTACTTATTTTTCAATTTAATGTAATTGACTACATAATTGAGTGACACCTAAGCATGAAGTCTTTTTTAATTATTACAAAATTGAGGTTACAATTTTTTAAATGTTTCTCCTTTAATATATAAGGGATTACTTTAAAATTAATATTTTTATTACCATAATTATTATTTTTATTTTATAATGCTTTATATATCTTGATAAACGTTTGGCATAACCAGTTAACTAATCTATATTGTTATTTACGAAGTGATCTTTCGTAACAAAACTCTCACGTTGTCATATATACAAATAATTTAATGTTTAATTTAAGTTTTCATAATTTATTATGATGATTTTAAACTTTAATAATAATAATAATAATTTATCAAGATGATTTTAGAGTTAATAAAATATGAATTAATCTTAAAATAGCCTGCATATGTCCGCATGTTTTAGAATCTAATGGGATTGGGTGTGGGGGTTTTAGAATCTCCATTATTATTGTGCGGGAAATGATTTCTTCAATAACGGCAACCCGAGGAGGACCATCACTTCCCCGGCGAGATCTCGATCCGAACGCTCTCAGGCTATCACGCCGTAAAACATACATCTCCCTCCTTCGAAACTGCAATAACATCGCTCAAGTTCCACCGATACACGCCAAGATCATCCGCACTTTCCATGGCCAAGACGCATTCGTCGTCTTCGAACTCATCCGCATCTGCTCCGCTCTCGATTCCGTCGACTACGCATACGACGCGTTTCGTTACGTATCGAACCCCAACGTGTATCTCTACACCGCCATGATCGATGGATTCGTGTCCTCCAATCGTTCCGCTGATGGAGTTGCGTTGTACCGTCGGATGATTCACGATTCTGTTATGCCGGATAACTACGTGATCACTTCGGTTCTGAAAGCGTGTGATTTGGAGGAGTGTAGGGAGGTTCACGGTCAGGTTTTGAAGCTCGGGTTCGGGTCTAGCAGATCGGTGAGGCTAAAATTGATGGAAGTTTACGGGAAGTATGGGGGATTGAGTGATGCGGAGAAGGTGTTCGATGAAATGCCTGAGAGAGATGAGGTTGCGGCGACGGTTATGATAAACTGTTATTCTGAGTGTGGCTTTGTTAAAGAGGCGTTGGAGGTTTTTAATGATGTTAAGGTTAAAGATACGGTTTGTTGGACTGCGATGATTGATGGTTTAGTTAGAAACAAGGAGATGAACAAAGCTTTGGAGCTTTTCAGGGAGATGCAGATGGAGAGTGTTAGTGTTAATGAGTTCACAGCTGTTTGTATTTTATCTGCCTGCTCGGATTTGGGTGCGTTGGAGCTAGGGCGTTGGGTACATTCGTTTGTTGAGAGCCAAAGGATAAAGCTTAGTAATTTCGTAGGCAATGCGTTGATTAATATGTACGCAAGGTGTGGTGATATTGATGAAGCTAAGCGGGTTTTTAAAGGGATGCGGGAGAAAGATGTTGTTTCGTATAGGGTTTTTAGTAATAAAACCCCTCAACTAAAGATAGATCGTAAAAAAAACCCTCAACTAAAGATTTAGTGAAATAAACCCTCAACTTTAGTTCCGTTAATGTTTGTCACCCTCCGTTACAGAATTTTAGACGGAGGGTAACATACGTTAACATAACTAAAGTTGAGGGTTTATTTCACTAAATCTTTAGTTGAGGGGTTTTGTTACGATTCATCTTTAGTTGAGGGGTTTTATTACTAAATGAGGTTAAATATTTCAAAATCTCTATTATCATTTATTTAGTATTTAAGAATTTTACAATTGATTTATAAACATTGAAAATAATTTATAATCTTTTATATATTACTTTATTAAATTTTTAACCTATTTATAAAGTTTTCTCATTTAATACTTTTTATAAATTATTATTAAAGTTTAATGATGATTTTATAAGATTAAAGAAGTGATTATTCGTCATACTCAAAAACATGAAGTAAATAAATAAAACAAGAAAAGCTTATTGATTAATATGGTAGGAGTATAACATATTGGTTCAGAAATTAAAAAAATAATAATAATAATCCTACATTATTTCTTCTAAAACAGAAAAAGTACGAATCAGATTGAAACTGTTTAAAGAGGAGAAAAAAGCCCTTGCCATATTTTAAGTAACAAGGTTGAATTTCTAAACTAATTAAATATCCTCAACACTACCTACAACTTTATATAACTTAGAAATCATAACTATTTGATATTTGAAAGTATTAATATAAAATTGTTTGTGTTTCCTCTTTTATAAAGCTTTATCGCTTTACTTTGTAATATCAAGAAAAATCATGTATTATTTCATCCTAAGAAATAGCAGACAAAAGCTTATAAAATCATCATTAAACCTTATTAATAGTTTATAAAAAAATAAAATATTTACTAAGCTTTATAAATAGTTAAAAAAATTAATAAAGTAATATATAAAAGATTATAAATTATTTTCAATGTTTATAAATCAATTGTAAAATTCTTAAATACTAAATAAATGATAATAGAGATTTTGAAATATTTAACCGCATTTAGTAATAAAACCCCTCAACTAAAGATGAATCGTAACAAAACCCCTCAACTAAAGATTTAGTGAAATAAACCCTCAACTTTAGTTATGTTAACGTATGTTACCCTCCGTCTAAAATTCTGTGACGGAGGGTGACAAACGTTAACGGAACTAAAGTTGAGGGTTTATTTCACTAAATCTTTAGTTGAGGGTTTTTTTTACGATCTATCTTTAGTTGAGGGGTTTTATTACTAAAAACCCTTTCGTATAACACGATGATCTCTGGTTTGGCAATGCACGGAGAAAGCTTTGAAGCGATCATGGAGTTTAGGGAGATGGTGAACAGAGGATTAAGGCCGAATCAGGTGACTTTGGTTGCTTTTTTAAACGCTTGTAGTCATGGGGGTTTGTTGGATATAGGGGTTGAGGTTTTTAATTCTATGGAGAGAGTTTTCGATGTTGAACGGCAGATTGAGCATTACGGATGTATAGTTGATCTTCTTGGTCGTGTGGGAAGACTAGAGGAAGCGTATAGATTCATAGAAAACATGCCGATAGAACCTGATCATATCATGTTAGGAGCTCTTTTGAGTGCTTGTAAGATCCACGGAAACATGGAACTCGGTGAGAAACTCGCCAAGAGACTGATAGACTCTGAGGATTTAGATTCTGGGACGTACATTCTCTTATCGAATATCTACGCTTCATATGGAAAATGGAAAGAATCTAATGAAATCAGAGGAAGTATGAGAGACTCAGGCATTGACAAGGAACCTGGTTGCAGTACCATCGAAGTGGACAACCAAGTTCATGTGTTTTTTGTGGGAGATACATCACACCCTGAGAAAGAAGCTATTTATCAGAGATTACAAGAACTGAATCGAACTCTTAGGTTTGAAGATGCTATGTTGTATATCAATGACATGTAGTAACTAAATATCTATTGTTCTCTATGTTATCTATGAATGATTAGCCATAGGGGTTGATTGAGTAAGCCACGATTGGACTTCTGACACTGTGACTCCCATCAGACCAAACCAAAGACGAGCTTACAACACTTCCATCTTTCAGTCCTTTACCAGAGACGGTCACAACAAACGTTTTCTTCTCCTTCAGAAGACCGAAACTCAGAACTAGTGGCTCAACGCTGATCTGAATCTCTGGTCGAGAAGATAACACACTCGCTTTGTAGGTAGAGTTCGGTGTTCCAACGTTAGTAACGGTTCTCGTAAACGTGATGTTGAACGGTTTAAGAGCAGAGGTGAATGTAGTCATTGTTGGGTAGTTCAGGTCCTTGACTTCTGTTCTCTCTGAACAAGTGATGTTCCGTCCTGAGATTTTTGTAAGCAAACGTGGACCAAAACCCTCCGCACACAACATTTTGAGGTAGTCTTGTAACTCTAGCTCATACACAAGTCCTGGGTCCGTGGCGTTGATGGGGTTAATGTGGCCTGATCCATATGCAAATTCTAGGTCCGGGTTTTTCATAACGTTCATCATGGGCGTAGCTGTCAATAAACCATGACTATTCTCAGCTTTTGTAGTTAGAAATCAAGAAACAAAGATCTGGTTTTTGAACATTACCGGTTGTCATGATAGCAGATTTGATTGCCGAGGGAGACCAATCCGGGTGAAAAGACTTGACATAAGCAGCTACACCTGCCACATGAGGGCAAGCCATGGATGTGCCACTCATTACACTAAACTTCACACTTCTCTTGTCCCCAGGGTTATCTGAAGGAGAAGCTTCTGGAGAAAATGCAGCTAGAATCTCTAATCCAGGTGCACTTACATCAGGCTGCAAATCAAATGTACGTTAGAGAAACCAAACTAAAGTTTACTAATGATCTTTGTTCTGGTTGCATTACCTTTAATAGGTTCTTGATAATTAAACTTGGCCCGCGAGATGAGAAGGATGGAACATAAGGAGCGTCTTTATCAATGATCTCTTCACTTCTTAGTATCTCCGCTTCTGGTTTCCTGCAAATTCACTTGTTTAACAACACAACTGCTCCAATGATTCATATCTCTACTGTTACTTTACTTACTCTGTAGAATTGACATATGATTTAACAGATTCATAATCCTCTAGGTTCAGAGAAGAGACCGGAAACGGGAGGACAAAGGAGATGTCTCGAGTAAATGTGTCTAGAACAATGGATCCAACGGCTCCAGCTTTGTAAGGCTCTTTGTTTGCTAGGAACTCGTCGCAGAGCACGATCTTCCCTTTTACCAGGTCTCTGTCCACACAATCTTTGGCGCAATAGCTGCCAGTGATCATTATGAGCATCATTCAAATGTGTTCTTGATTCAAGTTTCAGTTTGGAACAATCAAGAAGAGAGATTTTTCACTCACATGGCTTGTAACTCCGGACAAGTTCTTGAAACGTTTTTGCCGTAAACTATGGGGAACTTTGTCCCATTGAAGTTTACTGGATTAACTGACAAACCCTGTTCAAGAAACAGAGTATCAACAAACTGATTCCAGTTAAATTTTTAACATGAACAAACGTACCGTTAAAGTTTTTCCGTTACCAAGAACGACCCTGTCAATGAAACGCCGGTCCGTAGCACTGGCCGCGACGGTTATCATCCACGGAGATACATTTGCAACCGTACCCTGGTCTGGTCCAAAGTTCCCTGCCGACCCCACCGTGACAACACCTCTAGACATTGCGTGAAACGAACCAATGGCGAAAGAATTGCTCAGGATATTGGGGGAGTCTTTTGAGATCGAGATGGAGATGACGTCAACTCCGTCCGCGATGGCGTCATCATAAGCCGCGAGGATATCTACGTCTTTGCAGCCTTTGTCCTTGCGGCAGACTTTGTAGGCGACGACTCTCGCCGAGGGAGCTCCACCACGAGCCGTGCCTTGAGCCAGGCCGTAGAAGCTGGCCGCTTGGACGGGGTTTCCGGCAGCCGTGGACGCCGTGTGGGTCCCATGGCCATCGTCGTCTCTGGCTGAGACAGAGTTTTTGGGGTAAAACCTAGCTCCAACGAGTTTGCTTGTACCACAAGAAAGACAAGAAGGATAAGTAACACACTAATGTATACTATGTGGTTTACTAATTAAATTTACGTCAAACAAAAGTATATTCAAACAAGTTTTATATAACTTTCTATCAAGTTTGATAAGAACAAAATGTTAGGATATAATCTTTACTTGTTGCAAGTGAAGTTTCTGCCACCATTACAAGAACCTTTCCATCTCTGTGGAGGTGGACCAAAACCTTGGTCGTGGAAGCTCTCAGATTCAGGCCAGATTCCGCTGTCAAAGACTCCGATGATAACATCACTTTCTTTCACACTCTCTCGTTTCGCTCTCTCACCCAATCCTACAAAGTCCCATGATCTTGTTGTGTCCAGTGCATAAGTATTGCTTGGAAACACAGAGACCACTTCTTTTTTCATACCTACACACACACACACATATATATATCGTAGCAAAGGTTATGAGTTTTAGGGAACATCTTTCTAAAGTTTTTTTTCTAATTCTTTTTTTATAAAGATATCAAGATTTAATGAGTTTACCCACTTTCCAGTCTCCTACTCTCGGCTAGAGATAGATAAGCGGCGAATCCATTGAAGCTTCTTGAATAGCTTCTAATTAACAAACTCGATGCAGAACTGTAGAAAGGAACCAGAAAAAAAAAGAGGAATAATTATTCTTTTACATGACTACATATCTAAAATATCACAAACTGGAACGGAAAAATGTTGAATCTTACTTGTTAGAGGCAACAAGACTTTGTAGCAATTTGAGATGTTGAGATGGAGATGAGTATCCATTCTCAGGAAGTGCTCCTAGATATACAATATACGCCTGCAATACACATATATGTACGTATATGTATATGTACGTTTAGTTCATAATGGTATTGTACAAAAACAAGAAGCAAAAACTTGAACTTGCCTGTCTATTATCAATATCATCAGCAGACACATCTCTAGTGAACATGAATGTTAAACAGATCACAAAAAAAGAGGTAGAAAACTTAGCCATTGAGTGAAACTCTAAACAAGATAGTCAAAATGCAGATTGTGATTGAGATGAGGAATATTGTGTAACAGATTTTATGATCACCATTATTTACATTGTCATGAACAATATCGAAATTAGGCGTTTTGTTTCGTTCTAGTCAATGAAAAACCATGTTGAAAAAACATTGACTCTTATACACGAACAATTAATAGTACAATAAATTTCGAAGAAAAAAATGAAAATACGCTAAATCTGTTTATTTGTTCCCTAACAAGGGTCAACATTTCACACACACATTAGCATTTTCCTTGGTTGATATGGCAATGACCTCAACAGTCAAATGATGGTCTTGACCTGAGAAAACAACAAATCTTATTAAGGAAAGTGATGGATGGGAGAAGAACTTGATGATTTTTTTTTCATTTTATATTTGACCATAAATCCCACATAGTTTTCATAACAAAGAATACATGAGAATTATTAAGTTTCTTAATCAAACGATTTTGACTCGACTGTTTATTTGTCATTGCTTTGATTTCTACGCTAGAATAGGTTTATAATTAATTTGGTACATTCTTACAAAAATATTGAATAGAGATATTCTATCTATACTATTATTTAAGAAGTAAATTTGTTTAGTTGTCATATTCTCCATAAATTTAGGTAATTTTGTTTATTTAACATACTTTTAATATTTATATATATTGTATTTATAAATAAAACGAATCTGTATGAACATATCATATTTTTACTAGATAAGATAATTCTTGTGAATTATGTTGTTATCTTGAAATATATTTTTATATATAAAAATAAATTTTAAATTAAGATATAAACACTATTATATTTATCTAAAAAAATTATATTAATAATCTAATATTTAAATATAATTAAAACGAGTTTATATTAATAATTTAATATTTTTCTAAAATAAGATAATCATTATGGATTATGTTGTTATGTTGAAAATATATTTTTCTATTATAAAACTTAAAATTAAGATATAAAAATTATATTATTAATAGTTAAATATAAATCATCAAAACAATTATTTGAAAAGTGAAATTGTTGATTTGTCTCCATGATCCTATGTAATTTTGATCATTTATCAGAATTTCTATAATTTTGTTTATTATTGATTATATAACTAAAACTAAATTATATTAATAATATGATATTTTAGAAAATAAGTTAGTTCTTATGTATTATGTTGTTATTTTGAAAAAGGTATTTTCCTATTATAAAATTTAAAATTAACATGTAAAAAATCTATAATATTATTTAAGAAGTGAATTTGATGTTTGCTGATTTTTTTCAAACTTTTCATGATTTTAAGTAATTTTGATAATTTATCAATTTATATAATTTTATATATAATTTATTATATATTTAAAACAAATTTATATAAATAGTATCAGATTCTTAGAAAATAAAATACTTCTTACGTATTAAGTTTCTGTCTTGAAAATATATTTTTATATTATAAATTTAAAATTAAGATATAAAAAGTTGTAGTTATTCTATAATCTATATTATAATGATACAGTTTAAAGGCTCCTTAAGGTGTCCACATAAACAGATTGTGGGTTCCACATTTTTATATTAAAATAGATAGTTTTTTTAAAATGGCTATAAACAAAGAATATCAGTTTAGCAGTGGTCTAAGACCCCATGTTTGGTCTGCAAGGACATGAGTTCAATTCTCACTGCTCTCATGCATAAACCAATTAATGTCATCATCATAAAAATATTTTTAAACAAACATAGTCTTGTTAAGATGGTAACAAACAATGAAATACACTTTAGCCAAGTGGTATAAGGTGTTTAATTAAGTATGCAAGATTGTCAAACCACGTAGCTATCATGTATTTTTGATTTTTTTTATTTAGGTTATTATCATATGGGCTTTTTGTTTATAAGTTTCTTATGTTTTTTTTTGGCTTATTGTTTTAAAGATCAAAATAGTTGTATAAACCCTAAACCTTAACAAGTTCAAACCCAAAATAGTTAAAAATGAATCCAAAACGAATAATAAAACAAAAAAAAGAACCTTAAAACTATCCTATTATAATATAGCTCAACCCAAAAATAAAAAAATAAATCCAAAAACGAACAAAAAAAAAAACAAAACAAAAAGTGAGTTCCACGCGGGTGCATACGTGGATGGCTTAATGAGGGTTGAATAATATAGATTAGGAGCTCAAAAAGTTAAATCATTGCACATATTTCCTAATATATATTTTCAAAAAATTTGTATGTGAGATAAAATAAAATAAAACAACAAAAATTAATTATTTTCGTTATTTATTAAATGAATATATAATTTCTCTTACATTTTAA